TACCGAGACCTTGAGGATTTCAATTACTTTGTCAAAACTTTAAGCCTATTCTCAAGGGGGCTTCAGACACTCCGTCAACTATTTATGTCTCTGATCAGTAACAAATTTGGACTCAATCTAGACATGCCTATCTCCCTGCCTGTGAAATGCTTGTGGTAAGCTTACCCTTGGTCGTAAAGCTAAAGATATCGTCTTCAAGTTTCGTAAAAGTATTGCAAGTTTATGCACGTAGGTCAGTATTGAAGATAAACTAATTCGGCGAAAGAGCACACGATTGCAGCACAACCTGAACTGAATGCACCTTCGGCTCACGGTTAAAGATGCGACCCAAAAAACCGTTTTCACGTATATAGTATGGGCGATTTCATTGCACATTGTATACGAAACTGGCCAACGCCAGTCAGTATTACAATAAATTCATTTTCGATTTTTTTTTTTTTTTTTTTTGTTATAAAAATGATGGGTAGAAAAATTTAGATCACAGTTGAAAATTATTTTTTTTACTTGTCTAAATCATTATTTGCATATTATTGGATAATTTGTAGCGGAAAATTTGTTGTATTTTATTGTATTCAGCGGCTGGACTGTTTATTCGCAAAGTTAATCTTCGTTTAAAGTTAACCTTTAAATGTGAATAGATTTCTCGAAACTTGTTACATGTCCAGATCCGAATAGATTGGATGACATATTAGAAAAAATCGCTCGAACGCAATCGATTTTCTACTAACGATTATATAAACCTAAAGAACTTTCTCTCTATTTTACTAAATTTATTGAAAGAGTTGCCGACCAGCGCAACGACGAATAATTTAATATTTTCTTTTGCTGTGCAGATGTTGTATTTATCATTTTCAAATAATATATCGGCATTTGTGCGTATGCCTGTCTACAACTATATACACCTATTTAATATAAACGATGTATTTTTCTTTTTATTAATGATACATACACCTGGTGGTGCGCGCATTTCAGTCTTACGAAATTTTTTATTTGTATTATTTAAAGAAACCACGGTTTTCTAATGAATTTGTAAATGATACCGATTGCTATCGGCATACGTAAACGCGCATATAAGCACACATACGCATATATGCATGCTTGTACACTCATCCATAGGTAACATAGGTATGTCAAACTGTAAACTATAAATGGCTGGCGAAGGATATATTGTTAATGAGATAGACAGGGATTGCGTGCATCTCGATTCATTAATATAGGAGAAATGATCTTAATTTCATTGAATTGCAGAGAGAGGCGATGAACCCGCTTAACTTTATAGGAAATAATAATTTCTCACGCTTTCTACAAAAATGTATATACATATGTGCAAAGAGACGTTGAACGTGAAACAATGGATTTGTATAAGCATTTGCATGTGTATGCAAAACCACGATACGGGTGTTTTTGGGTGAAAGCATTTCTAACATTTACTCAAACTCGCATACGATTTTCATCTATTTTTTTTTTTTGTTTGTGCCTTTGTGAATTTTTAATTTCAAGAATGTTTGTGTTACATCGTCAGTCAGTCTCACTCGAATGAATTTGCAAACATTTACAATAGTCGAATACAACACATTACATTATATAGGTTAAGCAATTGAAATTTTTGACAACGACAACCGTCTTTCTTACCTATTTTAACCTACAACTGTAAATTATTGCGTTTATCGCTAATAGACAAGTGTCCATGATCATTTATTGCGATGATAATCGGAGAATATAATCAAAATCTTTTGGATCGAATAATTGATAGGTAAAAAATTATTTTTCATTAAAAAACCAACCCACATATATATTGTTGCAGTGGCGAGTGTAAAGAGTTAGTTACACTACAAACTGTTCGAGTATTCATCGTTATTGTGTTAAAGCTAGTTCCGCCTGAGTGTTTTGAATCATTTCAAAAAAATTTTATCTCGATTTTTCATTTTTATCCAATTAAGAAATTATAACAGCTTTGGATGGTAAAAAATTTATGAGAAATACAAGGAAATATACTGAAAAGTAAAGCTATTTTATAAGCTACAAAGTTTTTGAATTTGACTTCGTATGCGATAAAAAAAAGTATTGAACTTTTTTCAAATTTTCTCTCAAATAATTATAATCCTATCGGTGGTATAATAATTTTCGTTTCGTCGTTTTTACTCGATTGTTTTTTTTGGGGCCATTCCACCTGCAAATAATCAAATTTGAAATAATTGCGATTCGATGGCACAAATAATAGTTTAACAAACAGTAAGAACAGATACAATACAGAAATGTTTTGTGCAATTTCTTTATGCATCTCTTGGTTAACCTCATGGCCAGTCTTATGATAAAGTGTGTGCTGTATATGTCCGTGGCTCAATATATGTTTTGTTAACGTCAAGGTTTAGTGAGCAGAAAAAAAAAAAAAATGAAAAGTTTTTTAAAATGACGCTTAAACTTCTTCAATCTAATCTTAAAAGGTTTGGTTGCAATTGAAGTAAAACAATGACTACAGTAAAAACAATTTCAACGATATGAAAATTCATTGGATAAAAAAAATTGCACATAAAATATAGGCAGACGCATTTTTGATTAAACTAAATTTCTATACATATGCGTGAGTGTCTTAAATTATATGCATATACAACATGTCTATGAATGCATTTAAAGCTTACTAAGCATTCGGTATCAGTTAAAATGGCTTAGAATCTTAAATTTGTTTACCTAGTTATATATTTGCATAAATATATACTTTATTGTATATGTATGAATAGAGTTAAACGAGGTATATATTTTTCTTCAGTAAGTTGCCGATAGTGATGAGTGGAAAATTAATGGAGTTCAATTTATATATATATATATATATATATATATATACATGCACGTGTATTTGTTAATGCATGTAAAAGTTCAATTTCAGTAGAGTTAAATTACATCACAGGTTTCGATTCTGTTTAGTTCCGTTGAAAATAATTGATATAAGCAATTGCCATAAGCAATTAAATGAGAAACATAAATGCGCATATTATGTGCATAAGAATTTACGTTAAAGAACGAACCGAACCCAAATTGAAGGCACTGTTAATTAACAGAGATGTGTGATAAAACGCCATAATGTTTCAATTTCACAATGCGAAGCATTTTAGAGAGAATTTCAAGAGAGTAAATGAAAGTAGGAGATAGAGAGAGCGAGAAAGAGATTTTTTTCATATGGTTTGTTATTATGTTACATCACGAGGAAAATAGGAAACGAAACGGAATAAATGGCAAGAAAACGCGGTGATGAGCTAAAAATTTTGTAAGACTTTGCTTTACGCTTTGCGAGGAGCGTGAAAATGATACAAAGCCCGTGGAGAGAAAGAGAGAGAGAGAATCAATTGAATATACAGGATATTCATAAGAACACACAGCAAAGCACATTTTATTCTCTCTTACTCTCAATCAGACATCCGTGCCTTCTATAAGAATCCAAAACAAAGCAAATTTAACTCTCCATTCTTACTCTCAATCAGATATCGGTACCATCCATAACAACACACAGGAAAGCGAATTTTATTCTCCAAAAGACAACATTTTAAATAACAAAACAAATACATATACAATATATACTGTACATATACAATATATATTGTATATATATATATATATATATATATATATTTTGAATATTTTGATTATTTTGATATCTTTTTTTAAAAAATAAAATGTACATAATATAATTATAATCTTAAATATATATATATATATATATAAGTCTTTGTATATTTTCTCAATATTTTCCATTTTTAATATTTAGAATTAATCAAAATAATTTAATCTCAACTTCTATATACCTTACCGAAGTTAATAATGATGATAAAGTAATTTAAATTGTTTATATAACAAAATCCTTCAAATCCCCGCAATATTTGGGCGTTCCATACATTTGGAAAAGATATGATAAGGATAATAGAAAGGGTTGCGTTGTTGCGTTCTTTGGATTGAAGATTTACATTCAAATACCATATTATGGATATTATGAGGAAAGATCTATAAACGTACACTCCTTTCAACTTATTAAAGTCACAATAGCATTGACATAGCAATACATAGACATAATTTGATGCTGATTCAAGAATATATATATATACATATATATGTATTGTTTATGGAGTCTACGAAGCTTGCTTGTGATCGCGTTGCAAATATTTTGACAAAACGAATATACCCCTCATCACTAGCTAATCAAGCTAACATGTCTTCCGTGTTTTGCCGTTGTTGTTGCGCTTACAGTCTCAGTCGATTCAGTCAGTTTCAGTCAATTCAGTCTCAGTTCAGTCAGTCGCTTTTTTCTCTTCGAACGGTGAGGACGTAACAAATTTTTTGTCGCTTAAAACCAACGCGTTAAGTGTGACGTTGAAAAGTAGCGGCGTGCACTAAAGAAAATTTTTAAAAATAAAGAAATTTAAAGTTTTTCTACAGCTTTCCGTTTCTTTTTTTTTTTAATTAATTGTTTAAAATGAAGAAATAAATAAATTAAAAACTAATATATGTTAGAATTGTGTATTTAGCGTTGTACGTGTGATTTTGCAATTTATAAGCGGTTGGAATACGTACCATTTCAATTGAAAATACCTACATATATATATTAATTAAATATACATATACTTATTTACAACAAACAGCAATAAATGAACCTTTTTTTATTACATATTTAAATGCTTTTATAATATTAACGAAAAACAAAACAAAACAAAAACCAAATATAAAACAAAAAAAAAAAAAACAAAAAAAAGCTAATAAATTTTTACTAAATATATGAAAGAGGTTTCCCAAGTATCTAATGTCGACAAATGTGCGACAACGTAAGTTTTAAAAATTAACATATTTCGCAAATCGAAGAAGAAATTTTTGTGAGTTAGTCCTTAAAAAAGATAAAGAGGAATATCAAAAACAAAAAAAAATAAGTAAATAGATTAAAGAACGAAAAAAAAAAGAAAAAAAAAAAAAGAAAAATGCCTATATAAATAAACAGCAACAATAACAACAATTGCGAAAAAAGTGTAATCAAAAATGTTAAAAGAATTTACTTACACGGATTAATTATAATTTTTTTCTTTTTTTTTTCTGACGGATTAAATTAACAAGGTTAAACAATTTTTGGGTAAGTAAGTACAGTAATGAGATGAGTCAAGTGTGTGTGTTGTTGTCGTTGTTGTTGGTTTTGTCATTGTCATTAATTTGAATGTGTGGAGAGGCGAGTGTTATATCTTAAATATTTAATCAACCGTCCTAACCACAAAAGCATATGATAAACGTTCACCGTTTAACATTTACAAAAATTTACCTCAAATTTCCATTCTTTTGCGCTTTAGTTGCCTCACACAGTTCATTTACAATTTTGAAAATGCCTTTCGCCATGCATGCGATGAACAAACAACTTGTAAAGTTAGAAGAGGCGCATCTTCAGAAAGCTTAGAGTTGAAGTAACTTTTCCAAATTAAAACGATTTAACCCACTTTCCGACCAAACTAAACCAAGCCATCTAAACGACTAACAACCGACCTAAAGCCAAGCATACAGAAAAAGAGAAAAAAAATTTAATATAAAAAAAAATATAAAACATTTACAAACTAATGCTTAGTTTTATAGGTATATACGTACGGACAGACGGGCAGGCAAACGGACAGACGGTATATCTTGTTGTTGAAGTGAATAAGTACAACTTAAAGAGAACAACAACAACAACAATAACAATAACAGCAGCGACAACTAAAGCAGAAGCAATAACAAGCAACAGCAACTCTAGAGACTACAAGCTGCAAAAACATTACATTCAACGTATGTAACGTGTATTTCTGTATATGTATATATCTTTATATATATATATATATAGATATGTATATATATGTGTGTGTGTGTGTGTTTGTCGTTTTTATTTGTGTTTTCTTTGTGTATAAAAACATTGGATGGATGAGTCGCTGTAAGCATTTATGTTTGTTTGAATGTGCCACTATTCGCATCGCATCGCATCGCATCGCATCGCATGGCATGGCATCGCACCGTATCGTCGTATGGCTGATGTATTGTGAACTGTGCTTGGAAACGGTGGGAAAATGAAAGTAACGTCAAGAGATCACTTCATTTGTTCGCTGATGTTGTTCCTCAATATATAAAAGTACATACATATCTACCTATATACATGCATACACACCGTAGCATATATATATATCTTACATTAGAGTTGTAGCTATAAACGTTTTGTATTGTATTGTATTGTGTATTGCATATATCTATGTATTATATATGTATATATGTATACATTCAATCCGCTATTGGATGCATACGTTTCTCATTTACGAAAGATCTACGTTGGCTACGTTCAAAACAGGCAATGACGCGATCATAGTTAAAGCACATGAATTACACAACAATTGCTGAAGCCTTGTGCAAACGAAACGATGTCTTGCTTGGTATTTGTGACAATTGCACAAATTGATGTTTGGCTTTTGTATCCACTAACTTTTTTCCCTCCTTTTTATTTAGCTTCTCGCTCATATATATATATATATAAATAAATAAATAAATAAATAAATAAATACGTATTGCGTGGGTTGTTTATTTGTGTTCTTGCTTGATTGCTTGATTAATAAAACGAAAGAATAAATCTAACACAACACAAAACCAACAACTACAATAATTAGAACATTACAATACATATATATATATATGTATATATATATATATATGTGTGTGTGCGCAAATGTATGGATGTGCGACTAGAAGAATGAGCGAGCAACTGTCTCCGTGTGGGAACATTGATTTGCCACCTATGTCGACGAACTACTTGTATAAATTTGATAAAGTTACAGCTAAGTGCTGTTGCAGTGCCAAAGTACAATATGTCTGGCTGTGAATGGAAATGATTAAAAGCTCTCCTGCACATTTCGGAACTTCAAACGAAATCAATTTTCCTCTATACTTATGTATGGCATTGTTGACATTATACTTCGTTTATGTGAGTGTGTATGTGTTTGCATTGCACAGACGAGAGAAGAACAACATTTGCGCCCAACCGTAATGAACATCTTACAACTTCACTTAATAATGTGTAAGCAACTTGAGGCTCTCTAGATTTAGATGAATTCTTCTTGTTGTTGCTGCTGCTGATGCTGTTGCTGCTGCTATTGTTGTTGTTGTTAAAATTGGGCACGTTTTGTACAACTTGGCTTAACTCACCATAACTTTGGTTCAGTTACGTTCAGAGCTGGCCCCGGGAATGAATGCAATATAAAACGGGCATACATATATATATATATATACACACACACACACACACACACACATGCAGGGTATGCAATCGACGACAGTGTAGAAAAGCAACAACAGTCAAGTAAACAAATGAATGTTATGGCATTTGTTGTTGTTGCAGATTCTTGAGTAATACTTGGCCATATGTGTGTATGTGTGTGTGTGTGTGTGTGTGTGTGTGTGTGGTTGCTTGCTTCCACAAGCAACGTGCATAAATGAGATGAATGCTACTGTGATGGCTCATTGAGTGGCATTTTGATTTTACACGAGGGGATACATTGTGTACACGCTTAGCTAACACAATCATCGTTTGGTTGCTTGTGTGTCAAGATTTTTGTTTTTATTTTTTTATTATTTTACAACGCGATTCTTATAGAGGCTTACCAAACTAAGACATATTGTAATAAATAATAGTTTAAATGCCTCTGCCTAAGTGACATTTATACGTCAAAATCTATACCGTTAGCATAAATACGCTGTATTCGTGCTTATACAATTTGTTTAAGTCTCCATGTAAAATGAAAAGTGTGTGTTGTGTTGACGAAACATGGACCATCGGTTAGGATCGTCATCATCGTCGTCATAGTAGTTTCTTTGATTTCGAAACGTAACAAAAAAATTCATTCACGAACATTACTAAAGAGATCGGAACTATTATGTGGCGACTCTCATTGATTCAGAATTTACTTAAACTTTGACCCTTGCCACGCTATCATGCCAAAAAATGAATAATAAACATATCATCAGAATGGAAATAATGCAGAAATAGAGGAACATGGAGCGATGATGGCTTTTACATTACAATAATAGGTAAAAATCATAACAGAGCCGATACTGGCTGGTTGGCCTTTAACAAATCGCTGCCAATATTTTATCAGAAAAAAACCAACTACCTTTTGATGAAAAAGAAATCTTTCCTCAGAATTGTAGAATGGAAATTCTCTCACCAATCCAAGCCAAACTTAGACTAAGCGAACGGCTTTTACGATATCTATTCATCAGAGATGTATATACATGTATATATATATATATTTATGTATGTATTCGTTGTCTAAATTTTAATGCAACTGAAAAGCGAATGTGGTAAACCGAGTATTTAAGTAAATGTTTACGCATATGCTGTTGATGTTGCCTTTGATGATGTGAACTTTGGTAAATTTCCAAATTACTTTTCAAAGCAGATAAAATTTAATTTGATGATTATTTTTAATTGGGCCATTAAAAATGTATTTCATTAAAAAAGCGAGTGAATGTCAGGTTGGTAAAGTTGCTTCATTTAACATTTGTTGGATGCATTTCACATACTATGTAGTTACAATTTTATATGTATCTAGTTATATACATACCTGTGTTAGATACTTATCGACTTGAATTTAAAAGAAAGTAACATTTAATCGCAAACTTAACTTTGGTCCCCACATTGACAATGTCTGTAGTGAAATATATCTTACGCTCTGAAAACTGTACAATCTAAATTTATATTTGCCTCTAAAGGTTAAACATACCTACCATTACGCATTCCCTTCTCAAGACGCAAGATAACTATTGTATTGAGATCACTTCTGGGTGGCCAAGGTCTAACTTAGATACGCTTCAAACTATTGTTAACCGTATAACACGTTTTATTTATAGCGTCAAGCTAAACGATTATGGCCCCTACGTCCATGTTGTCTTGTTAGATACTCCTTTCCTCATTACATTCACACAATTCCGATTGCGTATCTATCTCTAAAAAATCTTCTAAACTCGATCCCCAAGCCTTTTAATTGAGCGACTACAGTTCTCTAAATCGAATAGGAATTCGATTCCTTCATATAAATACCACGTTTGCGTAACTCATCAGTCGAACGATCATTTACTGTTCGTATTGCTAGATAATGGAATGCTCCAATACTCAACCAGCACTGAAATCCTTCATTACTTAATAAATGAATAAGAAAAGAAATGATAAACTGTGAGTGAATCAAACTCACTAAATGGTCCACTAAAAGGCTAACGAACATTCATTGCCATTAACATTCCAATCCAACTTAAAACTGATGAAAAAAATCCCATTTTTAAACTTAATACCTTGAATAGTAATCAAGTTTGAGTATACGAGAGAAGAAGACACTGTTAAGAAGTATCTTCTGCTCTTTTACATGTTCTAATTATTTGCGTGACTGATAATATGGTTCGCTGATTTTCGCGGCTTACAACAAATGTATTTCAATGAATTAATTACGTTTTCGTGCAATGAGGAGGCAAGGAATGATCGAAAATATTACATTTCGAATGATAAATTGGAGCAAAGCTATTCTAACTGCGATTTTGTCTTCTTCTTCTTCTTCTTCAAGCATTCGTTTCTTCTAATGGCAAACGTAAATATTTCATTTATCTCGATTCTTTGTTAGCGTTATATATGATCAGAAATTCAAATACATTAGATCGCTATACTCATTGGAAAATCTCTCGATCTCTCGATCTCTCGATCTCTCTCTCTCTCTCTCTCTCTCTTCTCAATTTGACATTATAGCATAAAGATTTTAAACCAATACAAATTCTAGATAATTGAAATGGCGTACCCTGCGCGGTCACGTTTCATCCGATTTAATGCGAGAATTAATCGTAATCGGATCGACAGCCATTAATATTACTTTATATAATAGAGTAAAAGCGATCTCGACTTATGAAGAAAGAAGAGAAAGAATGCAATAATGGACTATCGCATAATCGACGGGACAAGATTCGCGACCGCCAAATCGATGATCGCAGATTCGAATCTGAGTGCGTTAGACCATACTTTGTATGTAGCCGTGTACATAGTTATATAGACGTTATGCTCGCTAATAATAATAATTTACGCTTCAAATA